GAGTCAAATGGCAGGCACAAACTGTGCAAGAGTACTGCATTACACCTGCTGGAAAACAGGCGAGTGATAAAGGGTTGAGACCATTACAACAGCATTTACTGGGAAAACATCAGGGCTAGAACATGAACTTTGCAATCCTAAATAGAAGGTTAAAGGATACATAAATACGCTAAAATACAGCAGATAAAGTGTTCCAACTAGAGAGCTGGACAGACAATTAATTAAAGAGGTGCTTGCTGCAGTAGATTTTATTTGCACTGCTAAATACACTACCTGTACCTGAAAAATGGAGCTGAAGAAATATATAAGTTAACTGGTAAAGGACAAAAAAAGAATCCCCAACTCAAAACCAAAAAACAACAAAACAACCCACCCTAAACCAAAAGAACCCACAACACACCAAACCACTCCAGTTTAGAAATGATGACTCAAGCTTGAAGGCAGGATGAAAGAACTGAATTTGTTTAGTCTAGGAAAGCAAAGACTGAAGGGAATTTGATATATCTTCTAGTACATAAAGGACCTATCTATTAAAATACAAAAATAGCTCTGAGCAACAGGATTTTAACAAAGGAAAATTTCTGTTTCAGGAGAATAATTAAGCATTGACAGAGACTAATAGGTGTAAGTGCTGAATCTGCATCACTGAATGTTTTCAAAGAAGCATCTGCTGGGGATAGTCTAGATAAGGCTGAGAGCAGGAGAACACATCACTTGATATTGCAGGCTTGTATTTCCATACTTAATTGTACTTGTAAACTGTCTTAAGTAAGACTATTTTTGAGCAAAAAACATCTGTTAATTTCATTTAAATTATCAAAAAAGCCAACATCCTATCACATTAGGATATTGGCTCCCTGTTAGTGATTTCTTCTGTGCATGTACTAACTTTAGCAAAAAGCCAAACTGCTATAATTTTATGTAAATATAGAGCATTACACCTACCACCTGGCTTCAGCCATTTTCACAAGGGTAGGACATGGGAATGCCTGCACAGAGAAGCTGTGGATTCTCCACCTTTGGAAATACTCACAACCTGACCAGACATGGCCCTGGCTCTGAGTAAAGGGTTGGACTAGACAATCTCCAGAGGTGCCTTCCAGCATCCATAACTCTGTTATCCCTGCACAGTGACTCAACATGCATGTTCACCATGCTAAATGAGTGCATTAAATTAGTAGTGTTTGCACTACACAAGGTGTTTACTGCTTGGGGTGAAGAATTACCTTCCTTCAGGGACCTGTGCTCCTGTAGCACAAATGTGTACAGAGAGGGTACAATCTGCAGGTTGTCAATAAACCAGAAGGGCAGTAATTTTCTTCTGAAAAGAAAATAGAGGGACTATTCTTTAAGTAACAACTCAAGTTTCACAAAGACAAAAAATTAACATTTTCAAAGAAACTCACCCATCGGAACACACACTTGGCTAAACAGGGAAACGCAGCCTACAAGTGCAAAGGCTGGACCTCCGAGCAACAGGTACAATCAGGCCAAGCTGTCCTCTGCACTCAGCAACATAGCCTGTATGTCCGTCATATTTCCATTTACATTGCAAAGGCTTTTGTTTGAAGAAATTACAATGTTACTGAAAGGGCATTAAGATGGCGGTTACAAGCCTGGACATGCTGGATTCACACAAGCATCTCCATTTTGGCATGTGCTATATTCTGCTATTAAAGGTACAGGAAATTCCTTGATGAAAGCCAAAATAGCACATCCTGAAATAGTCTACTGGCAGTGACATAGTTGCCAATCACCAGTGAAAGATGAGCTAACGTGATTTAAACATTTTCTTGGTGTCTAATAACACAGAATGGGCTACAGAAAAGATTATCCAGTCCAACTGAAATTATGGTCCTATTGCAACAATATAATATCCTGACGAAGTTGAAATTCTGTCCGAGGCAGTGCACTGCAACTAAGCCAACTAGATGGTAAATTAGATGTCATTTAATCTCCCACTTCCTCTGGTTTTCAGTGAGCAGCGACCTCTGTCTGGCACTCACATGTCCAGCCACTCACACATACCGCTACGAACAAAGGAAGAAATAAATAGTGGCAACTGTCATTACCACTATTGTCCCACAGCAAAAGGTCCTGCTGTTAATGTCTGCAGAAAAGAGCAAATCCAGAAGGTATACCCAATTTCAGAGCCACACTGGTTTCAGGTGGACCACTGGAGAAGGGAACAAACTATGAATAACAGGCATTGATATAACCGAGTTGATTCCTACATGCAAGAAGCAATAGCCCTCAGGTATTTCACAACTGTTGTTATATATTACTCTACGACCTTCTGTTTTATAGGCTTTTGCTATCTAGACAATTAAAGATAGCAAAGCTGGATCTGCACTCCATGGAGTTAGTGCTTTATTACCTTGATACCAGAAAAAAAGAAAAGCAAATATCCAAACTGAAATGTCGCTCATTTCTCAAGGAACAAAACGCTGTCACAGGAGTTCAGGTCAGCCACCCATAGAGCAGTACCCAGTACCCTGCCTATCAGGCCTCCAGCTCCTGCTGGGAGAGGATCACCTGAAAGACTCATGTCCCATCTTCCAGCTAGGTAGGGATGGCCTGGGGCTCAAGGACACCTTAAAGGCGCCAGGCACTTATGTTTTGGCAAGTGAGTTGAGTCCAAAGTTTGCACTTCTCTCTAGAGCTGCTGCTAAGCCCCTTTACGAGATCCTCAGCTACTCTGTACAACAAAAGCAAGGAAAAACACTTCCTTGATCCTTCCCCAGGACAGTTCTTTTCAAAATACCCCTCTTCTCACCTTTCAGAAATTCAAATTAACCCATCATCTCTGCTCAGGAACATCCACACTCCTTTGCTTTTCTTGTGCATAAAGAGAGGACATCATTAGTTTGAAGCAAGAGGAATGTGGAAGAATAAGGAATGGAGATTATTTTAAAAGCAAAATGCAACACTCACGTTGCTAACACCCGTGTTGTTGCCAACAAACAAAATACAATCGTTATGACTTTTCAAACATGCATGTAGGACTACTAGCAGAGACATAAACTTGAACCAACACCATAGATCTTACTTTGTCTAAATTATTAACATAATTTTAGCAACAACCATGATCCAGTCACAGAAATAGGACAGCTACTGCTGCAGTCATACAGCGTGTTATAAAGTTAAAAAGGCCAACTGCCCTCACAGATGGCTCATAGACCAATTCTACAGAAACCAGTGGCAGTAAGCATGGACTCAGAACGGTTCATGACCCAGCAACTAGTAGATACTCCCTCTCCTGAAGGATGCTCACCTTTATACCAGATTAGCTGCAGTTATATTAAAATTCAAGAAAAATGGCTGAAGTTGTACAGTTTGTCTTATGCAGAGTAAGACTGAGTAACCTGACAGCCATTTCTGGTTTTGCTGGTTGGTTATTGGTTTTGGTGTATTTGGTTTTTATGTTTTGCGGTCTTTTTGTTTGGGTTTTATTAGTATTATTATTAATTTTTGTATTAGTATAATTATTATTTTTGTATCAATAATTTAAAATATCAACCTTTATACAAAAATTACAAAAGCAGTCATGAAGGACTATCACATAGAGAAAAGAGACATGAAGGGGGCACAACATCAACTTTTCATGGAATCATAGAATGGTTTGGGTTGGAAGAGACCTTAAAGATCATCCAGTTCCAATCCCTTTGCCATGGGCAGGGGCCCAGGTTGCTCAAAGCCCATCCCACCTGGCTTTGAACACTTCAGGCACCCTGTCATCTACAGGAATACATAACAGAAAGGAAAAATATTTAAATCATATCTTTCTTAATGCATTCAAGAGAATCTCAAAATTTGGTTGACACTTCATGGAAGCACTCTTCTTTATCCTACCCATGAATGTTGGATAACTTTTTAAAGCCGTTTTCCAAGAAATCGAAGGTTTACAAGAGAAATCAAATGAAGTATTAGGAGAGTCCACCACGCCATTTGATCTCCCCTAGCTCATACAAAATAATCAGCATTTCATACCAATGCAAATGTTACAGTGTGCCCTTGTTTAAATAAACTAAATTAAACAAGTACAGACATTGCTGAAAACACTTCTCACTATGTGTGGCAATGAAATCTCTCAGCCTGCTTTCAAAGAATCTGCCAGGGAAGCTAAGGAACAGATTCTGGTAATCTTATTTATGTTATGAACTTCACAAGACTTCTGTAGAAATAACGGCATTACACTCACAGTGGATGGTCCTGTTCAAGGGAAACAAGAACTCAAAAATTTCTCTCAAGTAGTTAAAAAGGAGGAACTGTCAGGTATGTATTATGGCCTAATAAATACTGGAAATGGTTGAATACAAGAGCTTTTATAAAGGGAAGTGTAGTGTTTACTTAAAAACACAGATGTTTATGGCTTAGAAATTTAAGTTATACTACAAGTATTTACAAAATACTTTTTAGAGAAAGTGTGAAAGTCCCCTCAGTAATTTCTACCTAACTTGAAATTAGTTTAAATTGTCACAGAAACACATTAATCTGAACACTTAAAGAAATAAAAGGAAAACCACTTTCAGGGATGAGCATTTGTAGAAATTTTATTGCCATTATTTAAACCATATATTTAGCTTTCTTCATAGCATTAATAACTTTTGAGCTAAAGCTACAAGCTAAATAGTGAAATACAGAGATATCTAAACTAGCTTAACTAAACCAAGTAGTAGCTGTCTAGCTGTAACAGCAGGAGATTTCACAGAATAAATAAATTGCAGCAACAATCAGAATACTTTTACCACATTCAGACATCCACTTGAAGTAAAGAAATCCCAGTCATCTTCACACAATACAAATCTCTTCCTGTACCTTAAGATGTAAGAGGTAAGTGAATGAATTGACCCCTACAGGACACAGGCAGCAGAGTTGGGAACAAAGCACTGAGTAGATGTATTTTACTGATTTGGAGGACACATACACTGATTTGGAGGACACATACACTGATTTGGGGTTTAAAACTGGTGTGTTCTTAGGAGCACTCAAGCTCTTACCTTTACAAACATGAAAATCTCACAATCTTCCTGAAAGTTGTCAGTTTCTCCGAAGTTATTGTTAAGAGGGAACTTGAGGGAAGTTGAAGAGTTGGAAGAAGTGCTCCGGCTCCGACGCAACTGGAAATCCAGAGGAAAATGCATGTTGCTCTTAAACATCATGCCCTCTACATGTTTATCTTCCAGAGTTGGGCTCATCAGATCCATCTCCTGGTATGGGTGGTCTTCTTCAGCACCATGGTGAGATGAAGAAGAACCATCCTCCCCATCAGCCCCATGCTGAAAGGCCACAGAATTACTACAGCTATCTTCTGAGCTGTCCTGGCTACTATCCATGCTCTCGGGGAGAGTAGTGATGGAAGAAGGAGATACTGGATCTTCATGGACATGATCATAAAGATTATCCCTTTTGTCTTCTTTAGAGCCCTGAATCTCATAGATATTGGTGGTGTTAACATTTTGATAAACATTGGTAAAGACCTGATCTTCCATGACTGCTGGCTGGTGAGTTTTGCCTGCCTGCTGGTACCTTACAAGACTGCAGTTAAAGTGAGATGTTGACAAACGCTCTTCAGGAGGAAGCAGAGTCTGTGGTGTGCTTTCTGAATGCTCTGCTACACATGGCAGATCTCCAATAATCATTTACTGAGAGCTATAAATCAACAACTACACTTCCACTGAAGTAAAAGGGCTGTCTCAGTTTTAACCCCTTTGTTGATCTGGCTGCTGGTTACTATATCTTAGGAGATGGAATCACTTGTTGTTCATCAAGACATAGCCTGGCCAAGTACAGTGATGAACAGATGAAGCACCTACAAAGCTATGGTAAAGAAATATGTACTTTTTCCACAGGAAGTCAAAAATAGTTTTACTGGCAATCTTATGCATATTTTGTGTAAAGAGAAAAAAATGCAGACTTCACCCATTTACTCATATTTTCAACCCACAAAAACCTAGCTTCAAGGAAACGCAAGGCAAAAGTGCCTCAACAAAACAAGCAATCACCTGCACATTTTCTCTGGTTACTTACAACATCATTAGCAAATTATAATAATTTATAAAAAAAACTACAAATATAAAAAATTATAAAGTGGCATATCCATGAGAAAAAGGCATCAAACTTGAACTCTTTCTAGTTTTGACAGTGGTTCACTTGACTGTGAATGACTCCACATTTAACAACTTCATCCTCTCATCTATAAACTAGAGCCAAGACTGTAAAAGACTTGTGAGCTACCCTGCAATCTAGGAAGGGGAAAAAGAAACACTGAATAAACATTAACTAATTGTTGTAACTGCATACTTAATTTATTAATTACTTGTAATCACATTCAGGTTATACATCTCCATGTCATAAGACATAGACCCAAGCTGCCAAAGTTGGGTTAATGCTGCTTGACTTCAGCAACCTAGTTAGCCTCCTTCTCCACGGAGTTCCTTTTCTCTAGAGGATAGAGACACACAGAAAACCCCACTGAGTCTAAAGCAGAGGAATACTTTCAGCTTTAGCATCCTTCTTAAAGATGGATACAGATTCCAGAGCATCTGAAATCAGTCGAGTTGAAAATCATTACAGATTCAAATCTGAATTTATCAAAGTTGTGAGAGCTTCAGACCCGATTGACTTTTTATCTAGATGTTTACTACATCTGGATTATATGGATTGTTACAAGAACTGTTAGGATCCAATTATATTTAATCTTTTGGGGTTGAGCCACAATTTACATTAAAGGCATTTTCCTCCTGACGCATCCTTGTAACTTCATGAAAGGTAATTGCTACAGCAAGGCTGGATTTGTAAAAGAAACACAGAAGAGGGATTAAAGAGAAGGATTGTAATTGCACCCATCTCCAAACAGAACTAGGGGGACCACACGCTTCTTTACATTGTAGAGTAGCAGGTGCTTTCTGTCTGAGATTTATAATAGTAATTTACTGTCTTTATTCTTATATTGAACTCTTTAGACAACTATAAAAGTTCAATATCAAAAGCAAACCAATACTTCACCTTATCAAACTTAGATTCAAGTAAGGTTCCTAGATAATGCCAAAAGTGCCAAAAACATAGTCACAATCAGCAACACAGTAAAAGACGCAGGTAAGTATCAGAGATCAAAGATATTTCTTAGCTCATGAGGGCACCTCAGAGGCTTCAAGGATATCTAACCCATATCAAGGCCTAATTTCAACTATTATTACCCACAAATTCCTGCCTGGCACATGCAGTCCATCAGCAAACAGAACTCCACAATAATCACATCTCCTATCACAGAACAGAACAATCACATCTCCTATTTACACTTTCTGTATGTAATTCAGTCAGAATTATTCATGTGGAAATCCTAAATAAGAGATTATGAAATTTGTGCTGTCATCTGTACTGCAAACTTCAAGCATTCCACACCAGCTATTAGAGTGATAAAAAAACTGACTTAAAATCATGAGCTTAACTTACTAAAGCTCAAGAAACTTGGGAAAGCCAACAAGCCAACTAGAAAATGTTATTATTTTTTGAGTATTTTTTACTTTTATGAAAACACTTGCATTTCTTCACATTTTTAGAAATAAAAATGTATGTCTACCTGCATCTGTTCAACTTGCTCTGAGCATGGATAAGCAACTCCCTTGATCTTCAACCCTTCTTACAAAGTGCTCTTGCAGGATTAAGTATACTGGGATTGTAAAAATTCCCTCCTTAGTCACTCTTCTGGCAAATAACTTAATGAAGAAAAGAGAACACAGGCATATTCATGATGCAAAACAAAGAACAAAGTCCAGTTGCACAGCATTAAATCCAATGACTGACTTCTTTTTTTTCCTGCGCAAACACAACATCAGCAGGAAGCAGCAGCACCTGCTGGAGGGTATAAAATATCACAGGTAAAATAAGGAATAAGAGACTCATGTTTGAGTATTATTTAAAAATAAATAGAGTTGATGTGGATTTCACAAGTCAGAAAACTTCTCCTTTCCTCTGCCCCCTCCAAGAGCAAAGAAAAGTCCCATTCAGCTCCAAGATCCAGATTTCACTCTTGTGACAGGGTGATAACACCCCAGAGTAAACTTGATCACATTTATGAATTTATCCAGGTGAAAATCAGGTGCATTTCAAGTCATCTTATGTGAACCCACTGCTGGTTTATAACCCTTATATTTCATCTTCAGGGATGACAGAAATAATTTTGGTGCCATAATTCTAAAGTTAGGTTTGTAAGAAACAAGATCAAAACTGAGGTGTCCACATTGTGGCTTTGAACATGACTGTCCTATGCTGCTTCCCCCCCACTCCCAAGCTGAAAATGCTCTGTTCCACCCCAACCTGAGCAGCAATTGGCCCCTTCCAGGTAACTCTCCCCAGTTTCTGTACTGGGCATGACGTGCTGTGGTATGGAATACCATTTTGGCTAGTCTGGGTCAGGCATCCTGTCTCTGCTTCCTCCTGGCTTCCTGTGCCACTCCTCACTAGCAGAGCATGAGAGACTGAAAAGTCCTTGATCAGGGCAAGTGCCACTGAGCAACAACTAAAGCATCAGTGTGTTACCAGCATTGTTCTCAGACTAAAGCCAAAACACAGCACTACACCAGCTAACCACTAATTCTTTCTACAGTCCAATGGACAGCAACAGGCACCTCAGAGACCATGATAAAAAGAGATGAAAAAAATTATAACGAAATTAAGTATATTCTGGAGATGGTCTTTATTGCTGCAAAAGTCAGTCATCTGAGCTCCTTCAAATAGGTATCTTCTCAGACAGCAAGGCTGGAATTCACCTACATTTAAAAGCCTAGAAATGAACTCCAAAACTCACACTACGAACCTAGATAATTGCCTGGCTCACTCTACAGAGAAACATAGAGCTCAGTTCAGAAGCCCCAGAACACATACAGGCATTTATTGGTATTTGAGTTTGCACAGACCAACTTGGTTTTATCTGAAAGCCAGAAAACATAGTAAGGGCCCTGACACACTTAGAATGGTATGTTAAAATCACTGAAGCTGCTACTGAAACTTAAGCTGTTCACCCTTTAACCCTTTTTAGCAGCAATCAGCACCTCCAGCTTAAAATAGTCAAGCAGAAGACTAGCTTGCAAAGAAGTTCCTATACTGTGAGAGTATGTTATCCGAAGAGGAAGAGAAGGGTAGAAAGAAGGAAGAGTAGCAAGAATGTCAGCATACCTTGCATCTTCTCAGAGATTAGTAAGTAAAGGCAAAATGACATATTGCACTATTTAATTCAGATTCCTAATACAAGACTTTTTCCTGGGTACCCATTTAGGAAAGAAAATAATTTGCCTGCCTCCTAGACATTCCACAGCTCTGGAAACTCCAACTCATCTAGAAGTGCCACAAGCAGCTTCAGTAGTTAACAGCCCTGTTTAGAAACAGCAACCTGTTTCTATTGCAGTTTCTCAGGAGGCAATTTTTAGTTGGTTATTGCTATGATTTTAGTGCTTTAATTAAAAGAATCTTTAAGTTTTATTTATTCTTCCTGAAGATGCTTCCACACTTTAGCAAAGAGCTTGTAAATCTTTCATCACAACCTAAATAAATTGAGGTCTGTCAGTTGCTTGCTGTAAAGTAGCTTTGTCCAGTCCTAACAAGAAAACCTAATAGTTAAAACACCTGCGTATTCTTGGAAACAGTTGAAACTGAAACTGAATGATGGTGAATCTTTTTTATGTCAGTAGAAATGGAGGGATCTTTTTTTTTCTGTTCTCTCTAGAAGAATGAGAGAATCAAGTTCCTCTATCCAGTTATTCCCACAGACATCAACACTCACAGACCTGTTTGATAGGAACAGACTGTGAAAAGCAGCACTATAGCAGTCCAAGCATCTGCAGCTCCCCAAATTGTTTCAAGATGGGAATGACCTGGTGAGGAGGAGGAACAAGACTGTTCAGTATGTGCTCCAGCCTTTGGATGGTCATCTTTGGGCGCCCAAGAAGATCACTGGAACCTTGCTGCTAAGAACGGCTACTTTACAAAGGACAAGAAATTGCACAGATACACTGACAATTTTATCTGTACTGCTATGTGTCTGTATGGAGTTAGCATGTTCTGAAACATACGCTTCAGCTCAGTTTCACAATAACTGTTGACATGTGCAGCTTTAGTAGTTTCTGCATTCTATTTAAGACATGGTACATAATAAGGAAATGAAAACACACACTAAATAACATTTCAGAAGACAGTGGTTTGGTAGAAGACCTTGATCATCTTGCTGTTCCACACAGCAGTCAGGCCTCCAGAAACCCATTTGCTGCTCAGCTAAAACTGCCCTGGATGCTGCCAGCTAGCTCATGAGCTCAGGACCACGCTGATAACAGTGATTCATCTTCACCCAGATTTTGCTTTGCTACTGACTGCAAAAAGGTGTATTTAAAGCCAGCATATCAGTAAATTTAACTCTGCAGAAGACAGATGCTTCTCCATTGGGAACTAGTCAAACAATTGAAAATTATTTTGCACAGGACACTCAACTCTCATCAACAGCTTTTAGATGTTAAAAATACCAGGAATTATCAACAGACATTTGAAAATCTGCTTTACCTGCTGAAGGGCCTAAACAATTATTCCTGACTTGGATGTTCCAAAGCCCTTTATTTGTGGTCTTCCAGGTCCTTTTACAAAACTTTCCTTGGTTTTCTCTCTAGCTCTACAGTCAGAAACTCCATTAGAAACCTGAGAGACTAAGAAATATTGGCTTTTTATTCCCCCAAGTGCTCCAAGGAAAACATTTCTGTTGGCCTTTAAAATCTGGCATCATTTCAAATCCTTGTTTGCCTCTGAAACCAAACATGCTTAGGAAGCCCAAGCAATCTGGCTTCAGGCTCATTTATGATGGAGGCTCTAGTATCCAAAATAGAGAAAGCAGAGACACCACCCTACTCTCTATCACCTTGTCATGCAGCCTTCCGGACATCATTCCATGGACAGCTTGAGGAACAGCAGAGTCAAAAGCCCTTTTTCACTTATAGCCTTCATATACAACCTATTTCTTGGAATAAATGGGCACTAAAAGCTTAACATTGAATACAGTCTAACAGGTGTTAGTCACCTAAAACTTCTACTGTTTTACAGAATGTCTTCCCATTTTTCTTCACCTCAACTGTATAAAGATGCATCAAAACACAGTAAATGGATTAAAAAAATACTCAGCAAAAATGATCAAAGAGATTTCACCACATAGACAAAATTAAGGAAAGAAAAAATAAAATGAAAAATGCAGGAAAATGTGCCTCTGTCAATATTCAGTTATTTTAACTCTTAAGTAATGAAAACGGCCTGCTTTTTCTTAAGAAAGAAAATACCCAGCTTATTCTTAAGACAAGTATCTGAACTACCCATGTACAACATTTTAGTTTTCTTCCAAATAAATAAGGAGTTGTTTTCCCTCCATAACACTGACAACAGGAAGGTACTGTTTCCCATCTAAAAATTAAGTGTTTTACTAAACTTAGCCAAACACTGAGAATATTTTGAGGTTGCCTACCCTTTACTTCCCATCATTCACTGAATACCACTGACACAAACCAATGTTTACCACTGTAAACGGAACCAAGAGATGTATTAAATATACAATACATGTTGGCTAGCCCAGTTCAAAGTCCAAAGTTGGTGTGGCATGCTGCTTTTATGATGTGTCAAACTGAATACATTATATTAGGCCAGGCTCATGAATAAGTGAATACTGCAAATAGGTTTCAAAATCACCTGGGTAAGGGTGAAAAAGATTACTCATACCTTTTAGCACTGAATAGCTGAGTTATTATGCTGCCAAACCAGGTAAACAAAAGAGCATTGGTGCTTAAAATATATTTGTATCCCTGCATAAGGTTTCTAAGAAGACCCCAATCGAAATTTGATAAAATTGGCTAAAAGATGACAACTGCTATGTGCTCCCCTGACCTCTAATTCACTCAGTGTAATAAATACTTTGAAGGAAATAAATTGGTAAAGGACACTTCCCTCCTCCACATGATCTACTGTTGTGTGCATATTTACAGACCTGAATTAGAGTGACAAGCAAACAAAAAAAAAAACCAAGAAGAAAAAAGGGACAAAAGACAAAGTCCTTGACTTG